GGCGGTGGTGGCACACGCCTTTAATCCCAGCACTCGGGAGGCAGAGGCAGGCGGATCTCTGTGAGTTCGAGACCAGCCTGGTCTACAAGAGCTAGTTCCAGGACAGGCTCCAAAACCACAGAGAAACCCTGTCTCGAAAAACCAAAAAAAAAAAAAACAAAAAAAAAATCACTGCAGGGCTGGAGAGATGGCTCAGTGGTTAAGAGCATTGCCTGCTCTTCCAAAGGTCCTGAGTTCAATTCCCAGCAACCACATGGTGGCTCACAACCATCTGTAATGAGGTCTAGTGCCCTCTTCTGGCCTGCAGACATACACACAGACAGAATATTGTATGCATAATAAATAAATAAATATTTTTAAAAAATCACTGCAGCTGTTGCAAAGGGGGTGAAGGGTTTCTCTTCCCTCCTTATCACTGCAGTTGCTTCAAAGGGGGTGAAGGGATTCTCTGTTGGGGAGGCCTCTTGTTTGTTCCTGGCTGCCCAGAACCAAAATAACCACAGAGAAACTGCATTAATTAAATCACTGCTTGGCCTATTAGCTCTAGCTTCTTATTGACTAGGTCTTACATCCTAACTAGCCCATCTCCATTAATCTGTGTATTTCCACGTGGCTGTGGCTTACCTGGTAAAGTTTTATCCCCAACATCTGTCTCTGGGCGGGGCTACATGGCATCTCTCTGACTCTGCCTTTTTTTTTTTTCCACAAATGACCTCCTACATTTCTCTTCTCTTCTTATCACGGCAGCTGCTGCAAAGGAGGTGAAGGGCACTATTGCTGCCCTGGCCTTTATATCTGTCTCTAAAGACTGTCAGAACACTAGGAAAATGTTACCCCAATTCATGCTATTCACTTCAAAAGCAAATGAGCACCTTCAGTGCAGCTTGTTTAGCTGAAAGCTAAAAGGTTCAAAAGGCCACGTGGAATTCTTTATAATCACCCTCTTAATAAAGTCAATCATTCTTTGAAGCATGCCTTCTTGTTGCTAAAATGGTTACAAGAAGGAATGGGGGTCGATATAGAGAAAACACACGACAAACACCATGCATTTCTCAAGCAATAAATTTAAAATATTATTTTAAAATCGGGGGAGTCAATGGAATCTTCAGGAGACTTCAGAAACTACTTAACAGAATTAAAAACTGTAGTTATGGTTCAGAGTGGCATGCACTGCTGCCCTCTGCTGGTCGTGCTGGGAGTTCACGTTCTGAGTCCCATTGTGGGACTGTAAGTCCATTTGCAAAAATGAAGCTGCTGAGACCCCTACTGACAGAAAATTATACAGCACCACACAGCACTGGTCTGAATCAACACAAGAGAAAGCTGCTTTGAGTGCTGAGCCTCCTCAGACAGGTTCTTGGAGTCCCTGCTGCAGTAGGGTCCCTAGTGTGGAAATTCTTGCCAGAATTACCCAAGCACCCCACACCGGGAAATGTAACAGGTCTGGAAGGAGGCACTGACTTGGGGTATCCAGGATAAAAGCCAAAATCTAACCCCAAAGATATGTTGCCCACGGGACTCTAGGCTCTGGAAGGGCAGGGGGGATCTTTATTGGAGCTACACTCTCGATAGCAATGTCGTGCTCTGGAACGAGAGCTGTGCAATCCTGCTCCTTATAAATACAGCCACAACTGGGCTTAGGGACACTGCTGTCCAATGGGCATCTCAGGGGTGAGTCTCTCTTCCTCTCTGCATTCTATACAAGGTGAAAATGATGAAGATCCTTTGCTGTCTCGTTCTGATGCTCAGCTTCTTCTCCCAGACCACCCAGGTGAGCCTAGCAGACCTTAAAGCACTGGTAAAGCCAGGGTTGCAAGGGCACAGGAGAATGGGGGACAATAGTCACAGGCAGGAGAGAACACCAGGAGCGCTCACCCTAGCTGTAAGACACAAAGTGACAACCTTCAAAATCTATGTGTCCCCTCACACAGGGATGAAACACAGGGATGAGACTGTCCTGGGTATGGATGCAGGCTTACTCACAGGCAGACATTCGCATCTTCTTCCCATGTTTTAGCTGTATACAAAAGGCATGCCTTGTGCGGAAAGTATTCTTAGCCAGTAAGGTCTTCCCACAGAAAGGTCACATGTGCACCCAGTGAGAGATTCAACCCCGGCCCCCATAGTCACTGGGGTTATGGACTAGTGCTCTCTGAATATACTCCATCAGACAAGGCGCTCCTGTAATGGGTTAGGACCAGAGACTCAGTGTCTGCGTGGACAGTACAAGGAAGCCTTCATGTCCCTGGAACATTTGACCTTATTCTGTTGGTTAAGATCTCCCCTGGCATCATAAGCCACATGCTTGGAATGCTAGGCTTCCTCGCACTACCTCACTGAATCATACATGGGGATGCCTGATAGCAGGCACTGACCCAGGGTTCCAAAGATGAGAGCTAAATCAAATCACATCCAGAAATACATTCTCAGAATTGCAGAAGCCTGCAGAAAAATTGCAGGAGGTCTAGACCTCAGGGCTTCACTCTGAGATGCAGCTCCTCCCTTAAGGGTATCTATGAGCATAGGAAATCCCATCCCCATTAAAACAAGGTCACACTCAGATCTCGAGTTGTCACATCCCCTGAGCATCATGGCAGTCTGTCCTCTCTGCTCTGGACCCAATGGGAACCATGAGGATCCACTACCTTCTCTTACTGATGCCTTGCAGTATGGCAGGTAAGTCTCAGCACCAATAGGAACACCCAGAAAAGTTGGGGGATACAGGATGTAAATGGGAGAAAAATCCGGTCCTACGTTTGATGGGTAAGCAGGAACACATACCCTGGTTGAGAGGCCTGAATCAGCAGCCTCCAGAGTCTAAAAGGAGCCCCTGGAAAGATAGACAAATTTCATAGAGATGCCTGGCTACTCAGACTGCTCACATCACCCTCTGGGATATGACATATCCTGGGCTTAGACATATCCTGTGTGGAAGGAATTATTTCTGCCTTGAGGAGAGCTCCTCAGACTGAGAAGCAAGATTTTCATCCAGAGAGAAGCCACCAACAATCCAACCAGGCCATATCAGCTGGGTGGGGCCTGGAACTCACCAAGAGTGTAAAGAGTTTTTTGGATTGTTTTGTTTTGTTTTTATTAATGTTCAGTTTTTTTTTTTTCTGAGACAGAGTTTCTCTGTGTAACTACCCTGGCTGTTCTGGAACTCACTGAGATAAGTCTGGCCTCAAACTCACAGTGATCAACCTGCCTCTGCCTCTGCCTCTGCCTCCCAAGCACTGGAATTAAAGCCCTGTGCCCCCACCATCCTGTGAGTGTGGAGAGTCTTGAGACTACAAAAAAATCTCTCAACTGAGCTTCCTTTTCCTCATGAATCTTCTTCCCCGGTCATCGTGAGGGGTAACAATACCAACATCTCCGGGCTAAAGCCATTTGGACCCTGCAGAAGGAACCTAAGCTCACCTCAAAGTGAGCTTTCTGATGATAAAGTAGCTTCTGAGTCATTCCTGCTCCTCTAAGTAACCCCTCCCTCATACCCCTGTGAGGAACCCCAGTAAGAACTAATTGTTTCACCAAGTTGGACATTGGTGCGGCCATTACTTTTGTCAGTCATGTTGTATCTCCTCAGGAAAAGTCTCTCACAACAATCTCCCCTAAGTCAGGCCCAGGGACAAAATGTCAACTGTCAGGTGAAGCCCTCCCCTCCTGTCATAATATACTAGTGAAAAGAGACATATTACCACATTGGGGGGGGTAGTTTGGTGATCTAAGTGATTTGAAGAAAAAGAAGGCAGAGAGAAGGGAGGTTAAAGGCACAGGGGGCTGTCCATGATCATGTCCATGATCACCCTCCTTTACCACACAACCCTCAAATCAGATAGAATATCCCAGCTGGAATTCCCCGCTGTGTCTTCCGGCAGACCCTTCTGTGTTCTGTATTTACAACACGCAGAGTCTGAGGGAGGTGACCCTCCACACTGCGCACAGCACACAAAGCAGAGCAGAGAGGCAGCCCGTGTCCTGATGCTCCACTTTGCCCTCCTTGGACTGGTTTTAACATATAAAATATGGGATATGTAGCTATTTCTCAAACCATACACCTAGAAATTGGGGACAATGTTTAAGACTGTAAAGCATACGGCGATGTTCCCCGTCTCACACCAATCATGAACAGTGTTTCTTCCCAGTCTTAATTGTCCCTTCTCAGGAATTCTGTTAGATCCTGTTGGGCAGAATCTCTGTAGACCTGGTCTGTTCTTAGTAACTTTTCTAACCAAGTCCTCTTTGCTCGGTGGTTATAAACTATCCCCCCTTCACAACCTCCCCCAGCTCGGACATCAGGAGTTCACGGTCTACATAAGGGCTGCCTTGTAACACATGCAAGGGTGATGCTTTTCCATCTCCCAGAAGACTTTCCTTGGGCAGGTTTACTTCTGGCTTTGGGGGAACTGGATTAACCGGCAAGGATTCCTGGGGAAAGGTCTGTTAGCAAAACGGCTGTTAAAGGCGGGAATGTAGCCTGCCTTTCCCTTTTCGGGCCACACAACTGAAAGATTTCAAAAGACTCAATCAGCTATTCAAATCCCACTTTTCCAAGACACACACACACACACACACACACACACACGTACGCACGCACGCACGGGCACACACACATACGCACGTACGCATGCTGCACGGGCACGCGCGCGCGCACACACACACACACACACACACACACTCACACACACACTCCACTGTACCCTGATTTGTGGTTAACCAATCTGAGCAAATCCTCTGACTGTGACCACTGTAATCACCCAGTGACTAAACTTTTGTACCTCACAACAAACCCACTGTGCCCTCCAACCCTTAGGATGTTGGCAGGGAGAGGGGGACAGCATACAAATTTGGCACAGATCAAGTGAGACTGCCGCCTAAGAACCTGTCCACCCCCATCCCGACGTCCCCGCCCTCACCCCCACTCCGCTAGCTTGAACGAAAAGCCTCTCGCCTTGGGGCCCCAGGCCGGAAGCCTCCCCTGCTCGGTGGCGGGCAGGGGAAGGGGCGGGCGCAGGCGGCAGCGGTGCAGAAGATGTACGCGGGGCTCCTGGGACTCTCTGCCCTGCTGCAAGCGGCCGAGCAAAGTGCGCGTGAGTGCAGCGTAGCCCGCGAGTGCTCACCCCTCCAACACCCCACTCCAACCCAGTGTGGGGGGCACAGCTGCCACTGCTGTCCCAGCAGGCGGTAAACTCTGCCCGCCCGGTGCACACACAGTAGCTCCCCTCCCAGCCTGCAGAGCACTCCCGGTGAGATCCCCTCACTGATGCATGATTCCCTCCACCCATGCAGACACCCCTCAATGCATGGTATGGATCTTCTCCACACCCTAAACCCGGGGTCCTGAATCCCTGTCCGCTACTTGCTCCAGCCCACGCTGCGTGAGGAGGCTGCGTGGAGCTCCAGCGCTTGGTGAGGTGCCCTGGCTCCCTGGTCACCCGGCTCCTGGCTGGGGTTGCCGGCTGCGAGCCGAGGGCTGGGAGAGTGGAGGGTTGGTGATTTCCCTTTGGGGTTCGGGACAGGGCAGAACGCTGACTGCTGGGCACACGGGTCCTGTGGGCGGTGGAGGTGAAGCAAGATGGCCATACTTTTCGCGCCTTTCACGTTTGAACTCGTAACCCTTGCAGTGCTGGCGTCTAGTGCTTCTGCCCACTTCTGCTACTCTCCTACAAAGCCTTGCCCCTGAAGGGACTCCACCATCCTGAACCTCTAAGGTTCCTCCACCATCCTGAACCTCCAAGGTTCCGAGTGCCTTCTTGGACACTATACCTCTGAAATTTACTTTTAATTTGCAACGTAGTCCCTGCAGATTCCTGCCTCGTCACCCGCTCAGAATTCCAAAGGGCACTAGACTGCCCCTGGAGAAACCAGGATGCTCAGGGCTGCCCAAAGTGACCTAGACACCCTAGCTTTCTAACAGGGAAGGTCAAAGCTGGTCTGAGCAACTTAGCAGAACATTGTCTCGAAACAAGATGGAAAAGTGGCCTGGGGGAGATCAGTGGTGGAGACCTTACCTAGCATAGGCACAGCCCTGAGTTCAAGTCCTAGGACCACAAATCAAAAGAGAGGACAAAGCCAGCCTTACTCAGAATGTGACTCAATTCTAACAAGAGGCTCTGATAGGCAGCAACAGCGTGGGGAGGACGAGATCATTCCATGCTGTCGGCTCCCACATCCCTGGGACTCCCCATACATCAGGTCCTTGGCACATGTTCTGTGCAACCTCACAGACAACCCCACACACGGCCACTACCCTTGTGCCTGTCTTATGTCTAGCAGGTCCTGCTGACTCTTTGTTAATAGTAAAGATGCGATGTAGGGTTGTTTTGGAACCTGGTTGTTTTGGTTTTTGTTAAATGGCCTAGTGGACAAGGAGTCGGGACAAGCCTAGGAACGCTCACAGGTCCCAGGGTTACAGAGGCAGGACATGCCATTTGGGAATACTCATTTGACCAGAACCCAGAAACTTTGGCAGGGCTTCCTCAGACAAGACAGGGTGAACAAATTCGGAGGACTTGGTCTCTGTGGGTAGTTTCTGTGGGCTTTGGCCTTAAGGGAGGTCCCTATCCTCTTGGCCCCTGACCCTGGACTGGCTAGGGCAGAGAAATCCCATGGTGCATGGGCGTAAGATGAGCTGTGGGCTGGCTAGCGTACTTATCCTGGGTGCATTCCTGGAAGAACGCTGCTGTGGCGGGAAGGTTTTGAGGCCAAGCACTGTAACAAGAGAGATCTGGTGTTTATAAAGCGGTCGCCTAACTCTGTCCTCTCAACACCAACACCCTCATATCGTCTCTCACCCCAGGTCTCTGCACCATTGTTTACCACTTCTCCACAGGTCACCTCCTCTGGGGGTGGCTGGCCCTTTCTCTTCTCCTGCCCGGCATCCTGGTCCAGGCCCTGAGCTATCTGTGGTTCCGCGCGGATGGGCATCAGGGTCACTGGTGGCTGGTGTCGCTGCATCTCCTGCAGCTTGGCGTCTGGAAGCGGTAAGAGCAGCCCTCTCTCTTCCATCTGATGTAATGAAAGAATTCCTCTGTCCATGCATGCTCCCACCTTAAAGCCAGGGAAGCTCAGGGTTGTACCTCTGCTTGGCATTGGCATCCTGAAACATCCCTGACATCAGGGGGCTCCTCCTGATGGCGCCAGTGACCTTTCAAATGCTTCTTCTTGTCTTTAGCCAGATTCTCTATCACCCCTTAATCAACTTCTAGTGCTACATAATTCAGTTTACTTAAAGTGCTCCATCTGACCCCGATGACCTTAGTCCACGACAGTGGCACAGAATTAACTGACCACAAACTAGATGGTAAGGCCCACACGATGCCATTTGCTTTATGCTTTTGTGGCAGGAAGAAGTGACCTGGGAGACAGGGCCAGGGTTTTTCATTTTTTTCTTTTCTTTGTATGATAGGCTACCAGGCATGGATCTGGCTTCCCTGTGCCCGCAGGTGTCTCCAGAGGAGACGGGAAGTTGTGCATTTTCAGGCACAGCGCGTTTCTGCTCTCATCTGTCTCATAACCCCATAGAGTTGAGGGACATTTATAAAAGGGGAAGAGACCAGGAACCAGACAGGGGGATCCTGAAGCTCAAGAGCATCCAAGGAACCGCTGCCAAGTGCTGCTCTCTGCCTGGGAGCTTGTGCCGTCTGCCTGCATCCAGGCTAGACTGGGGTCAGAGGAGAAGGGGCTTCTAGAAAGATATCCAGTGACTGCCTCCTTTCTGTGTTCCTCCCCAGCAGATCCTTGTCATATAGAGGCATCCAGAACATGCATGTGCCACAGCGGTTTCTCCCAAGCTGGGCCTTCCTGTCTGAGCTCTGTGTTCTCCTGAAACAGCAGAGCTGTCGTTAGTGAGGGGTGAGATCTCAAAAACAATGAATAACTTATCTAACAAGTATGTGGCTTCAACAGGGACAAGAATTTGATAGCTCAGAAACATAATTCAGAGTAGTCTTAAGAAAGGAACATTAACTATTCTTTGGTAGATCTGCCTTCTGGGGCTCTGGAGTGACCCTGGGGATCCTGATAAACCTTCAGAGAGGTGAGACCGGAGGTCAGAGGCTGGTCCAGATCTGTGGCGTGTGACAGTGAACTCCCCTGAGGCTCTCAACATCACCACTAAGTGACGGCATGGTTTCGGTCCATACTTTAAAATTCACTTGGGTAAATGAAAAGACGAGTGCAAATCGAAAACTGGGAGAAACAACAGCCACGGAAAGCTAATTTACAAAAGCCATTCAGGTGATTACAAAGGCATGCATAGAGCCTGGTGTGGCCTCACAAGCTTGTAAGCCCAGGCTTAACAATGAAAAGCCAGTCGGATCTCTGAGGTAGAGGCGAGCCTGGGCTACATAGTGAGTTCCAAGACAGCCTGGGCTTCATAGTGAGACCCTATCTCAAAGTAATAATAGTAACAGTAATGGTGATGATATAGGAGGTGGAGAGATGACTCAGGAATAGAGAACACAGGCTACTCTTTATGCTCCCAAAACTCATATAAGGTGATTTCTGACTCTAACTCCAACTCCAGGAGATCTGGTGCCCTCTTCTGGCCTCCATAGGCACAGAGAGAGTGTGAGAGAGAGAGAGACAGAGAGACAGAGAGACAGAGACTAATAGGACATAAATAAAAATGAATCTCATGATAAAATTGAAGAAAAAACAAATATTGATTTCCAGGAAGAAATAAAGTAATATATCTGGCGGTAAAGCCAGAATGTGCAGTTTTTAGAACTGGACCACAAAACTGGACCACAGATTTGGCTCTCAGTTTCGCAGCAGCCGATCAAGCATCAAGGACGCCCCCTCCACAGTGTCCCAGAGATTACAGATGAGGCCAGCTACCTTCTCAGCAGAAGGCGCTGAAAGTTGAAAGTGGCGAATCTCTGGCTCTGATACAGCTGCTCAAAAACAAAACAGGAGATAAGCCATGCAGATCAGGTTTGGTTTGGTTTGGTTTGGTTTGGTTTGGTTTTCTTTGCAGTTTGGCAAAGGCACCTGTAGGGGGAGCCAGAACAGCTGTGTTTTGCACAATCTCAAACTTTAGAAAATGAAGACCCGCCCGTTAACTGACTCCATAATGAAATGCAGACGAATGAACTAACAACAGAGAAATCGATTCAACAAAATCCCTTGAGGTAAAACCGCTTAGAGAAGACGCGAATGGATTCTGGTTTTAATTCCAAACAACACAATCTTTAATGTTAAGTCTACTAACTGTTCAAGAGAACCTGACCTTAGTGACAACTCATTTTACACAAGGGCAGTCATTTCTCCATCTGAACATTTTGTTTACACTCTGATGTTGTGTGTGCTTGTGTCTCCTTCACCTTGTTTAAAAAGCCCGCATGTCTACTTAGAAACGCATCCCAGGAGGATGCGAGACTACCTAAATATGCCCCTCCTCAGAGTGCATCTTGGCAGAGCAATTTTTCTACAGCAAAGAGAAAGTTAAGACAAACTTTAGGGGCATATAAGACCAGCTTGACAGGGATAGGTGCAGATTCGGTGTTCAAACACAAGTAAGGTACTTGCCACCAAGACTAACTACCTGAATTCAATCTCAGGTACCCACTCGGAAGAAAGAGTCAAATTCCAAAAGTTGCCCTCTGACTGCCACATGTGTGCCATTGCACACGTTTGTGTGTGCACACACACAGACACACACACACACACACTAAATAAGCATATGAAGCTCAGCTATACTCCAACCTATCACTGTTGACAGTCTCAGCTCTATCACCACCAAAAACATTACCACAGGCAGAAGAATCACTTGTTCCCCAAGCTGTGAACCCAGGATAGACCATTCTAGTTGTGGTGGAAGTCAGTGTTATTAAGAGCTGAAAAACTTAACTCCAAAGACATGTCGGGTAAAAGTAATTGCACTTCCAAGGTTCTGCTTATGGTACATGTTGTTTTTAATGCAACTAGGAGTCTTGGGCCCTCGGCAATATGGCTCACATGGAGTAACTTGCGTGTGCCCTGCTGGATTGCAGACACATGTAATTAAGTCCAGTGTCTGAGACTAACTTGGGAACGGCTGAAAGCACTGGCATACCATCAAGACCAAGGGAAGGGCCTGGAGCGAAGGAGGGAGTCAGGCCTTAGAGAGATGGCACCAGGAACAGTTGGCACAAGCCTCCAAAAACCCAGGATGGGGGCAGGGGAACTGAGACACAGCATCCAGAAGAGAAGTCAGGGTGCTTTTCAGGACCTCAGAAAAAGCTCCCACTGCCCCCATCTCATCCCAACTCCCTAGGGAACTCCCCCAGCAGCTGCCCCCTAGTCTCAGCCCGAATTCCTCCATCTCTCTGCCTGACCCCAGCCTGGCAAAGCCACTCTGCTGTTTTGCTGTCCCCAGGCACGGGCCCCATTCCAAAGCTTCTGTCTGGTCCCACTGATGTCTCATACGCCCTACGCCCAGCTCGGCTTCACATCCACCGCTGTGCTGTCCTCTCCAGGAGGCGCTCACGGGCCACCTTCACCTCCTAGCCGGGACCTAGATGCCAGGCACTCAGCCGATACATTTCCTTCCTTGTTCTAAGCATTGTGTGTGTGTGTGTGTGTGTGCTTTGCACAACTAAAACTCATCTTTCATTTGCCTTATTCCTTCCGTAGTCAAAGCCTAATAAAACTTCCGGTTGGAGGGGTTGAGGGTGTGACTCAACGGGAGAACACTGATCCAGCCAGCACAAGGCCCCTGGGTGCCGTCCCTAGCACCACAGGGTGGAGGGGGGTTTGCTGAACTGAAACCCTTCGGTGGGGACTGGAGAGCAGGCAGGAAGAGGAAACTAGCCCATCTCGTGGGGAGATGATCTGGGAAGGCAAGGAAGACTATGGTGTGTGGTTTTAGTGCATGCTTCTCCTAACATTAGTCTGTGTCAGGAACAATGGTCACAGACACTCAGAGGAAATCAATTCTCAGCAGGACTCAAAAGATGGAAAAGAAAACTTATTTTTCCTAAACATCTTCCCTGAACCTTCCACACCAGGGATGAAGTCGTTTCAAAGTCAGCCTCGAACCTTGGGCCGGGAGGTGGGAATGTTGGCTTGTCATCTTCAGAACTTTAACAAGCTGCTTTGTTGGCTTTCCTAGGTGACCTCAGAGGTTCAACTCGCAGGGGGAGTCATTGGGTACTGCTATCCACGATGTAGGCAGTGGCATTCTGCCCCCTTGCCGCACAACTTAGACCCAGGGAGGATGTTAGTAAGCGAGAGTAGACCCTACCCCTGGTAGGCCCTCAAGGCCAGGTCACCCAAGGCAGCTGCTATGGTTATGCTGGCTGTGTGGGCGGTGGCCCTTTCACAAGGGGACCCTATCAGCACAGAGTGCCTACTGTATGTTTGCAGAGACACAGACAAGGATGTGCTCTCGCTTCTTTCTAAGTCTTGATTCCCACTGCACACTAGGAAGGTTGCCCAGTCGTGCCTAAGCTGCCGTGGCCCCGGCCCAATCCTGCGGACTTTTGAGACAGGCCCCTGGTCCCTCTTACACCCCAGCAGGCTATTGTGTGTCATGTGACTCTGTCTTACATCTGCCCTTGACTTTGAGAATGCTCCATGCTTTTTTCAAGCTTGCTACTCTTTTTGGTGACCTTTCTGTCCTCAAGGTGACCAGTTGCTAAGGTTCTGCCTTGGGTCCCCAATACCTGCACACCACCTCCTCTAGCCACTTCCTGTCCACTCGACCATGCCCATTGCCTCTGTCCATGAGTCTTAACTTACAACTAAAATCCCCAGATCCTTCTGTTTACCCCTGTCAATCAAGCAGCTGCTAGCAGGCTCCTTTCTGCTGCATGTTAATGTCATCAGTTCCAAGAGTTTGAACTTGTAGGTGTCTTAGAGCTACCAGTAAGCCCTTCTCCATCCTGCTTGGCCAAGTCCCCCTCTGCATGCTCCAACATTCTCTGCATTTGCTCCTTCGCTTCCATTTCCAACACCAAACCTTCGGTCGTTCCTGCTTGAGTGCTGTATCAGCTTCCATAGCTGCTGTGCACACACCTACATATACACACATATACATGTATTTATGAGATACACGTGGACTGTATGTATGTTATGTGTTCATGTACACTTTACATGTGTGTACATATGTATACATGCCTGTGTGTGCATATGCACTGTGTGTGTTTGCACATGCTGTATGCAGGCATATGCTTGTACACTGAACATTCATGTGTGCACATACATTTATACATATATGCACTCATTTACAAACATGCCTACAAATGTACAGATTTATCCCATATCTCAAACACAACATACATGCCTTTTCCCATCAGTTTTCCAGAGAAAAAGCAACGTCCATGAGCTGAACTGAATTCTGATATAGTTAAATAGGATCCTATCAGTCCTTAGCGTCCCCATCTTGCCCCACCTCTCTTGCCAGCCTCCAGTGAGGACCCCAGCTGCTTTTACAGCATTCCTGTCTCAGGGCACTGAGAGCTCTACACTCCTTGGAGGAAGATGAGGGCTCCGTCATCGCTATGCTCCAAAGGGGTAATTACCCACAGTGCCTTGCAGCAGATCTCTATTTAAGGGGTCCTTAGCCCTCCCTGGAAGACCTGAGGTGAAGACATTGACCAAGATTCTCTACAGGCCTCACCAGACCCAGTCTTGGCTCTTTAACCTGGCAGTAACTTCAGCCTACCCACCTACCCCTAGCCCTTCTAACCTTGGGGATAGTCACCTACAGTGACGCCCTGCTAAGCACATGAACTGAAATAGGCAGCTTGAACTCAGAGCTCAGCAACCGCCTAAATGGAGGCCCTAAGAGGCATCAGTCGGGCACTCCTGAGAACACTTCATATGTCCGTGTGAAAGGTTGGTGTCTGTGGCAGCCCGCACGTCTGGCTTCATGGTCTATGTCATGATGCCTTTGCTCTCTGTAGGCACTGGGACTCTGTGGCAGCCGCTCTGTGGAAGGGAAGGGAGGCTCCCTGCTCAGGACAGCTGCACCTGCAGGAGGCTGACCTCTCGGCGCTCCGGCTGCTGGAGGCTCTGCTCCAGACAGGGCCCCACCTGCTGCTCCAGGTGTATGTGTTCCTAGCCTCTGACTTCACAGATGTTGTGCCAGGTGGGTACCTTTCACCACGACTCACACCCATTGCTTCCCAGATGACGGAAACATGTGCCTGACCTTGTAGGACCCCGTGTCCCCTCTAGGATTTCTCCTATTTGGGAGACCAGGGTAACCCCACGATCACTAACACAAATGATGGTTACAGATGGTTTTTGCTCGGGGTCAGGAGGTCACAGAGAGCTGGTTTCTTGGGGTAAAGCATCTAAAGTCAATCCTTAAGACAAAAGTTGTGCAGAGAGGAGATAACCTTGAAAACTCCCTTGGGGAGTCTGCTTCTCGGGGAGTATACATGTTCATCTCTCCCGGGGCTACCCTGCCAGTAGCTGACACCTGACACCCCACATCTGTTCATCTCCTACAGATGTGTTCCCAGCTTTCATCCAGCCAGAGCACCTCGTTGCTTCTTCCTCCTCTCCCTCCCCCTTCCTCTCTCTTCTATTTAAGTACCCAAACTTAAAACAGAAGGTCTGAACACTCTGATGTGGCTGCTCATTCCACCGTTCATCAAAACCCCTTTATGTGTGGCAAATACTTGTCATGAACCATGTCTGTATGCATCCTGTAGGATCCACATCCTTTAAATCATAGTTTAGGCTGGAGGCCTTAGAAGCCCAGGGACAGGGACATTTTTTTTTAATATTTATTTATTATGTATAGAATATTCTTTCTGTGTGTATGCCTGAAGGCCAGAAGAGGGCACCAGACCTCATTACAGATGGTTGTGAGCCACCATGTGGTTGCTGGGAATTGAACTCAGGACCTTTGGAAGAGCAGGCAATGCTCTTAACCGCTGAGCCATGTCTCCAGCCCCCTGACAGAGACATTTTTTTTAATTTATTTATTTATTAAGGATTTCTGCCTAAAGGACATCAAGAAGAAGAGCATCTAGGCCACTGAGCAGTGGAGCCATTTTCCTCCTCCTCTTGCTTCCGGGTAAAGACATGTTTGTATAGCATTATTAGGTTACCCACCTAATGGCACATTGTTATATTACATATGGTCAATAGTGCATCACCATCAGGCTAGTTTTTTACAAGAAATTTGTTGTTGGGATGACGGAGGGCATCTGCACGTGTGCCTCAGAGTCTCTAGGGATCTCTGTCTGTTCAATCCTCCAGGGATCAGCGCCTTGCTTTCCTGGGTGTCACTGTCCTGGGCCCTTGTGTCATACAGCCATTTCCTGGGTGTCATGAAGACAGGCCACCGCACGATGCTATGGGCTGCCCTCTTGTGCCAGCACTTCTGGAGGATGGGCATGTTGGGAGCCCGTGTGCTGAGCCTGGCTCTGTTCTGCAGGGTTTACCGTGTTTGGGTTTTAGTGGTTGGAGGTAAGTGGGGCTTCTGTTCCATTCATAAAGCCTTAACAGTAATGGTTCACGGTCCTCTGTCCTAGATCTGAGCTACTGGGCTCAGCAGAGGACCTTAGGGAAGCAGAAAAGCAGGCCTCTGTGTTCCTAGGGGACCTCGGCAGATTGGAGGCACACATGTGGCCTCTCTCTGCAGCAAAGGGCTCACCCTTGGTACTGGCAACTACAAAAGACAGGAATTGTAGTCATTCAGTCCTCTTCAACCTAGAACACCCACGGCATGGCTTCTGCTATGCCTTGCCAGTCAAACCATCCTTGGTAGCGCAGACCCATGAACACGGAGGTCCAGACCCTAGCTCCCAAGAGTGTGCCTCCAATGCAAGAAGTGGTGGTACACGCTGACTCCTTGGTTACAAATCCCAGGCTCAAAAGTTCCAGCTAAAGCTGGAAACCCAGTTCTGAGAAGACTATGGTAGACCATCCTGTAGAATGTTGTTGCTCACACAGGAGGTCCAGGTTCCACCTGATCCTGTGCAAAACTGTGTAATGTATATGCTGCTTCTTAGAACCTCCATAAGCACCCTGTTTCCTCTGGGTTTTTTTTTTTTTGGACACTTTGTCTAAAACAGGAAGTCCCCACTGAACCCCAGCCTTCTCTTCGCCAGCAACGCAGATATGAATGTGATGGCCAAGAGTCTGTCTAGCCCTTCAGACTCCTGAATGGAGCCTGTGTGTCCTTGCCAAGGACAGCAGTGTCCTCTGGTCATCAGTGAATACACTCTGCAAGAGGGAACAGTGTACTCTTGTTTTAAGAGAACCGAGAACATTGAGAAATAGCTGGCCCATGTACCCAGAGCAAACATTTAATACAGTTATTGGCAGAAAAGAACATTTTTTTGGAAAAGGAAAAAAAAAAAGTTGTGTTCCTACGGAGAAATTAACTACATTTTATCCGTCATTTTAAAATTCAGCTTCTGCTCCAGAATGAGGCTATTCATCTTAAAATATAAGAAGAAAACTTGTAACTGGTCCACATGGAGTTCTCTTTGGGTCTGGAGGGTTGGGTTTGTAGAGCAACAGTGTAAAGAGAGTAGAGGGCTTTATAGCTGCATCTTTAAATGCTTTGGGGGAAGCAAAGGGCATCCATAGGTAAGGCCTGATGCATGTCACTGAATCCAGTCTGTTTTCTCAACTCCAAACTAGGTCAAATGCCTCCTGGGAGGCTCAGAGAGACAGACACGCAAAGATAGAATGAGTAGCTTGCCTGTGCCCCTCAGTTCTCTTCTGGCTTTGGGGGATCTCTTGTGGGATGCTCAAGTTCAGCCTCACCCCCTTCCCATCTCCCCACTGAAAGTGGACTTCCACCCCTCCCCCTCTCCAGGTGCTCACTGGCTGGTGATGTCCTTCTGGCTCGTAGCCCAGCAGAGCGACATTGTGGAGAGCACCTGCCACTGGAGGCTCTTCAACCTGCTGGTGGGGGCCGTGTACATCCTCTGCTATATCAACTTCTGGGACAGCCCTTCCAGGAGCAGAATGGCCAGCTTCTACTTGGCAAGTGGCAATGGAGGTTTTCTTTAAGCCTGGTTTTTACATTACCTTGTTAGGTGGGGAAGGTGCACTTACGCAGGGGTGTGCCTGTGCATCTATTAAAGAAGGAATACCAGGGCCTGGAATCGGCTCTGTGGGTAAGAGTACTTACTGTGCATGCATACAGACCTGAGTTCAAATCCCCAGCAACCAAATGCCTGTGACCTCAGCACTTGGCAGTGGGGGGGGGGGGCACGGAGGAGGAGATACAGGCAAACCCCAAGACCTTACTAGACAACCTTGCCAAAATGTCAAGCTTCCAGTTTTGTGAAAGACCCTGTCTCAGGCAATAAGGTAGAGTGATAATGGAAGACACTGGAGTTCCTCCTCTGCCTTCCACATGCCTGTGCACTGTGTGTGTGCTGTGGATACACACACGCACACACACACAGGAATAGCCTAGCATAAGGAGAAATTACAGTGATTACACTCTTTGACAATAGCCTGACATCCAACTGTTGCCATCTCATCAGGTACAGCCAACTCAACAGACTTTGTTAACAGATGCACTTGAGGACCTTTTCCAAAGTGGAGATTCCCAGTCCCGTCCCCATGAGGCCGGAGAATTCTTGTTTTGGAGATCGCTTTGGGCAGCATTGCTACTCCACCTCCTTTGGAAGCTGCATGCCTGGGCTCACTTTCTCCTTTCTCAGAGGTGGAACAGCTCTGGAAATTGTGGCTTCACCCAGGAGGGACTTACTCATCTCAGCAGACACACAGCCTAAAACATGTTAGCAATGACCTCAAGGCTTGTGTGTCAAAAAGCCAGAGCTTTCTAGCTATAAATGCAACTCCTCCTGGCAGCTTTGAGGATGTGGTTGAGCTGGTAGTTCCTGTGTTGGTATCTGTCAGCTGTCTTAGTGTGGGATGGATAGAATCCCTTTACCAAACACCTGTCATTCTCACCATACCCTCTTTGTGTCTGTGATTTTTGTGGCTGTCATTATGAACCACGCCAGCAAACCTGCCCTTGTAGATATGTTCCCATTGGAACCTTAGTCCTGCCTGGGGGAGGCACCTTGGTTTGTGAACCTTAGCAGGTACCAAGGACAGAAGGGAGGAGCTTCAGATAGCAGGACATGGTGGCTATCTTGACCCCACAGGTCATGCTGCTGGAGAACTCCATCCTCTTGCTATTGGCCACTGACTTTCTGCAGGGGGCACCACGGACCAGCCTGTGGACTGTGGCGGGAGTCTCGTCTGGATTTCTGATTGGTAAGACTTACTGAGCCTTGTTAGCCATGATTCCTCCCCCCACTTGTATTTTATTTATTTTATATTTATTCTTCTATTTATTTTCACGGGTTTGCACGTGTGGTATGGATGCATGTTTGTGCACATGTTCGCATGATGTGTGTGCAGATGCCGCATGTGAGGTCCTGAAGTTGATTCCAGATGTCTTCTTTAACCATTTATTGAGTCGTGGCCTCTCACTGAACCTAGGGCTCCTGGATTCCTAATAGTCTAGCTAGCCAGCTTGCCCTGGGCCTTCCCCTGTCTCGGCCTCCCAAGTGCTGGGATTACAGGCAGCTGCCCCATCCCTTCCCAGCTTTTATGTAGATTCCCAAGCATTCACACTTATGCAGCAAGTCTTCAGTCCACTGAGCTGTCTCCTCAACCAAAACCTGTTGTTTTGTTTGTTTGGTTAGTTAGTTAGTTTTTCAAGACATGGTTTTCTCTGTGTAGCCCTGGCTTTCTTGAAATGCAAAACTCTGTAGACCAGGCTGGCCTCAAACTCAGAACTCAGAGCTCTGCCTGCCTCTGCCCCTTGAGTGCTGGGATTAAAGGTGAGCCACCACTGCCCGGCTACAACTTGTATTTTTTTTTATGAGCTGGAAAGACAGGGAATAGTTTAAGAGCCGTGAATAGAAGATGGGACCCAGGCTGTGGGTAAGGAGGCTGCTGCCTGCAGCCTGAGACTCAGAGCTTAGCTTTATCTAACTGGCTAGACTGCTAAGAGCCTCAAACAAAGGTGGGAACAGCCACATCTGTCCAAAATGCTCCCCGTTAATTGAGTAGAAGATGCTGATCTCTAAGTTGCATGTGTGCGTGTGAGTGACCAGTTGAAAGCCTAGGAGAGCCCGTGTCCAGAAGAGAGTTAGTCTGCCACCGACAAGTCAGCCTATTGCTCTTGGCCTGTGCCCAGTCATCTCCCTGTGAAGAGGGACTCCCTTGGGATATGATGGGACGGTCCTCACAGCTGAGAGGCTTAACCATTTATTTGGGATTTTCTAGTTCACAGGAGGTATGAACACTTCCCCGGTAAGCCCAATAGTCGGGAGTAAAACTGTCCACTCATGCAGAAGAGACTGATCTGTGTAATGCTTTTCCTTTGCCCACCAGCAGGTGGCGCTGGACACACCTCTGGCTTTCCTTTGGCCCTCTGGGAATCCCCAATAGGAAAGGAAGAGTGTGCCAAAAGAAAGAGCGGAAACAACGCAACTGTGAGTCAGTCCTTAAACCCAGGCGTTAGAGAATAGTATATCTGATACGTGTTTAAAATCACACCAAATTATGTTATTGCCAGACATGATGGCTCATTTCAGTAAATCCAGGGCTTGGCAGCCGGAGGCAAGAGCATTGACGTGAATTCCAAGCCATCATGGCATACATAGTGAATCTGAGGCAAGCTTGGGCTAAGTAGAAAACCCCTGTTTATTAAAAAAAAAAAAATCCAAGAAGCAACTCACAGGTAAAGTGACTATTTAGCATTCAAGAAGCCCTGAGTTCAATACCCAATACATGAACTGTAGGCAGGCAGTGGTACATGCCTTTATGCCTTTAATCCCAGTACTTAGGAGACAGAGGTAGGAGGACCTCTGTGAGTTCAAAGCCAGCCTGATCTACAGAGTGAGTTCCAGAACCGCCAAAGCTACACAGAGAAACCCTGTCTCCGGGGGAGAGCTAACTATATAAGCCAGATATGATGTCTCATGCCTGCAATCCTAACATTTAGCTCACGCAGGATTGACATAAGTTTGAGACCAGCAAAGGCCATGTATCAAGGCTTTGTCCCAAGAAAACAAGTAATTTTTTAAAAGAAAAATTATAAGCCAGGTGATGGTGGTACACACCTTTAATCCCAGCACTTGGGAGGCAGAGGCAGGTGGATCTCTGTGAGTTTGAGGCCAGCCTGGTCTACAGTATGTCAGGACAGGCAGGGCTATAGACATCCTGTGTCTCAAAGGAGGAGGAGGAGGAGGAGGAGGAAGATTTAAAGAGAGAGAGGAAAGAAAAGGAAAGAAGGGAAGGAGGAAGAAAATTATCGAAGCTGGAAAGGTGACTCGGCAGTAAAGAACACCAGCAGCTCTTCCAGAGAACATGAGTTTACACACGTGGAGTCTTATGAGGCTCTTCGGAGCACCGGGCAGGCATGTGGTACACTGACATACTTGCAGGCGAAACACATAGACATAAAATATTTCTCAAAGAGTTATAGTTCCAAGAATACAGGCTTGAAATAATTCCTGCCCAAATCTCGGCTCCCCATTTCCTTCTTTCCCTGGACAAACTTGTATTTCATGCCTACCGCGTGCTAGCCTTGAGCTCTGCCAAGAGTCCAGCAGGTGGTAGGAAATCAGCGCTCTCAGTGTCTCTGGCTGCAGCAGACCCTGCTACCTACCCAGCATCCGGGGTGCATAGGGAGGGTAGCAAAGGTCAGCTGGTTTGCTGCTCTTCTCTGCCTTGGTAGAACTTACTGCAAAAGCTGAGTGTTTGGGCTTGGTAGGCATCCATGGCATTGTATAGAAACTAGCACGTCAGCTGTGTCCAATACAGAGAGGACAGGAATGCTGGTCCTTGTCCCCACTTCCAAACCTACCGCACACCAGTGCCCTGCCCTTGTCCCCAGAGACATTGAGGGTCTAAGGGCAACGTCCTTTGGGTTCCCTCCTAGGGTCTGTCACGCTGCCATCTCCCGGCGCCTTCAGCCTCCTCCTCACACTTAGCTCACGTCTCCTGAATCTATAACGAGCACCCTTAACCCAGGCACTTTCTCCAGTGTGACAGGAAACTGGAAACAGCGTGGGTGGCTTACTGGAATGCTCTGCTAAAGAGATTATTGCAGCAGTCAACACTTCTGATCGACATAAACGAAACTGACAACAGCGTGATTAAGATGTTTGTGCACAGAGGAAGTGTTGTTGTTCGTGGAAATGCCTTGATAGGGGCTTTTGAGGAGCGGGACTGACCTCTGCTTCGGGCTCTTGTTTTCGAGGTCGCTTTCTTACCTCCTGCCTCCCCCGGCTTTGGCATCCGTCCACACCGTGCCGGTGGTGTGGTGGGATTCTGGAAGTTACGAGATTACTACTATGCCTCTGGTGCCCGTGTGCAGACACACATTGGCCCATAACTTGAGGGGTCAATGCCAGACGCCCTCCAGGAACGAAGCCACGGCTGTACGTTCTTTTAGGTTCAGACACATTTATAGCGGTTAGATGCTGGGGCCTGTTTAAAACTCCTCCTGAACAATATCCAGTTCTGAGTCTCTCTACTGTAGGTCAAAATTATGCTGCTCAAAGTAGCCACTGAGACTGCCACTCACGGGAGGATATCGGGTGTCCCAGAATGTAACCTCATGTTCTCCTTTGTGCTGTTTTCTTCTCAGGAAGTGTCTCGCTGGTTCTTTATTATACCTTGCTACACCCCAAAGCTGCAGACATCCAGCAGAGCTTCCAGAGGAGATGCTGTGGCCCCATAGAGAATGACAAAGCTGAATCAGAGGCTTCTCCCAGGGCTGTGGTTCCAGCAGGGGGGAGGTCAGAGAGCTCAGGCTGGTGCCAAGAGGAAAGCTATGAGCTAACCAGTCTAGATAAGGCCTCCAGCCCAGAGCAGAGTACAGCAGAGGTGGGGCTGGGGGATGGGAGATCCGGGGAGTATTCCTTCTTTAGCCACCACCACTGGCTGTTGGTGAAACTTGCTCTCAAGACAGGAAGTGTATCTAAGATCAACGCAGTCCTTGGAGGTGACAGCCGTGGCTACTCCTGTTCCCCTGTGTTGGGGTCGAGTCAACACTGTAATCTGCAGAGGAAGCCCCTGTTTTCCCAGAAAGATCTCCCATCCTCTCCTTGTGACCCTTTGACCTTGGAGAAAGGCTCTGAGTTCCCAGGTGCTCCGAAAGCAGAGATGGAGTCACTGGAAACTTCAAGCTTTGTCTCCTTTGCCAGCGAGCATGAGGACAACTCAACCACCCAGAAGCCACCAGCTCCACAGGAGGTAGACAACCCAAAGGATGGGACCAAGGCTGACCTGGAAGCCCAGGGGAAGGATGTGGATGGGCCTCTGAAAGGGGAGGAAGGACAGGCAAGCACAACACTGTACTTCAGTGCCACCATGGAAAGGACCACGCCCTCCTACCAAAAAGGCAGCCCAGTGGCCCTGCAGGCATCCCACTCAGGGACACTGAGAGAGTGTGGGCCTGTGCAGCCTGCTTCGCCCCAGGCAGCCACTAAGCCCTTTCCTGTCACCATGGCCAACATTAGTCCCATTCCTGGCAGAAACTTCTGCCCCAATGCAGGCCTCCCTGGGCGAGCCCCAGATAGCTCAGAGTGTGAGGAGTGGAGGGAGCCTGCCAAGGACCTATGTGCACAGAGGTCATTGCCAGGGACGAGCCTGAGACCCGCTGAAGAGCCGCGATTCACATCGACCCCTAAGTCTGAGTCTATCCAGAGGGACCATAGCTGCAGAGACAGGAGGAAACAGGAAGTGAGTTTCTTCATCTGATCTTAGCCGGGGTGGAACGGGTTGAAACATCAGACTGGCAGTTCAGCATCGTGGGAAGAGAAAAAGCCCACACCTGATGCCTGTGTCCTACTTCTGATCTCTGCCTGCGCACCTGAAGAGATGAAGGAACAGGATGGGATGATGTCTAAAATCTCGCCCCGCCCCACCCACCCCACCCAACGTATGCGCAGCAGAGAGTCAAGTGCCGTGGCGACAGGCAAAAGGGTTTCCGGCTCCTTTTATGAGGTGCATGAGCCCCAGCACATCTCTCTTGTCTGCGACTTCCTGGAAATGCAAAAGGAAAACTTGGAGACCAGTTTCATCCCAGACTCTTTGTAATTACATGTTCTTCACATGGGACGCTTATTAATCACTTGTTAAAAATGCTTTGGGGAGGTGGAGATATGGCTCAGCAGTTAAGTTACGCTATTCCAGAGGACCCTGGTTCAATTCCATGGAAACTCATGATCACCTGTGACTTCAGTCCCAGCGGAGACGATACGCTCTTCTGGCCTCTGTGGACACTACACACACATGGTACACAGACACACATGCAAGCAAAACACCCACACACATACAGTTTTTAAAAATAAAAACAATGTGCTTCCTAGATACATTATTTTTAGTCTCTTATTGTTACAGAACATATTCTTTCTGGATGTAAACGAGAAGTATGCTCATAACCGACATAAATGAAAACAACAGGACCATTTTGAGTTCAGATCCCTTTGATGGGACCGAAGTGACAGCTAGGCACAGACGTTTGGTTTGGTTGCTTTTGACTGAATTAGTTGGGTTGGGTTTTTTTTTTGGGGGGGGGTTATATGCATTAGTGTTTCGCCTGCAGATAAGTCTGTGTGAGGGTGTCAGGGCTGCCATGTGGGTACTAGGAATTGAGCCCGGATCCTCTGCAAGATTAGTCAGTGCTCTTAATCTCCGGGCCATCTCTCCAGCCCCCGCAGTCGGTTGTTTTAAGACAGCACCTTAGTCTCACTATGTAGCCAAGGACGGCATTGAACTCCCGGTCCTTTCTCCTCCACCATCCATCCTTCCTTCAAACCAACCATTGGGTCTCTGCTTGCTTTTTAAGCTATTTCCTTCATGTCTACACTGTGTTCCCTCTTCCATTCAATATACAAGAGCATCAACAAGGGAAGGAAACATCCTTGCCCAGATGCCCAATTCCTTTCTAACTCTTCTCTGAAGGCATCCTTTGCTAACACGTGATTCCTGTTATTTCCCAGAGTGCTCCTTCCCAGCCCAATCATAAACCATAAAAGAGCAAAGCATGTGTGTGGGGGGGGGGGGGGGTGCGTGGTTTGCCCTCTCCAGACACCTCTAGGTCCTGAGGCCATTACAGGGCCTGAATAAGACGATGGTGCTACCTAGCTCAGCATCCCCAACTGGGAGTGAAAGAAGGATGCTACGGTACATGAGTAAGCAAGACAGGAAGTAATGGAGTTTGTTAACAGTGACACTGGTGCACTATAGTCATTGTGCTTCCATGGGGTCAGGCTCCTGTTCTACCTAGGCTCACCCCAAACCAGATGAGAACAACGTGGGCCTCTTCCTGCTTCCTAACAGACATCATCCCTTGTCTCCTATCATATCCACTTTAGCGCTGCCTTGCCTGTCTTCCCAAGCCTGTCTTGGCTAAAGTCCATCTCCATCTCACTTTCCCTCCTGCAGGGCATCTTCCTACACTTTAAGTTCCCATTGTTGCTAACACCACCACCAACACACATACACACACACACACACACACACACACACACACACAAAGATCACACATCAAGGTGCCATCTCATCTTTGAGCTCTACACCAAAGCCCACCACAGGTGGTCCCTGGGGCGATACAGGAAGGACGAACTACCCATCCCTCATAAATATCATTACAAACTGCAGTTTCCGTGTGACTCCTAGTGAACAGGCACTTGTTACCAGGAAGGCAGGGAGGAGAGGAGAAGAAGCAGGGGGAAAGAGGATTTGTCCTTTCTTTACAAACTTCTCACTTCTCTGACAAGCTGGAAAACTGGATCTTTTTCCATAACCATTTTCCCTTTCATTTAAGGAATCCTGATGAGGGGGCACTAAATAAGATTCATCCTTTCTGCCCCAGGCCTTCAGCCCAGCATGACCTTCACAAATGACCTCCTGTCAGGCTGCAAGTCAAGTCCTCAGGTAGCCAAAATGACAAGAAAACAGGCGTATACTTACCAGAGAACACCAGTGAGCCCACACCGACTTTAAATGCTTATTCTGCTGCCCACTGAATGCTGGTCAGCAGGGCCACACTGTTACACAAGGAAGTACAGTTTGTGGCCATGGTACTCGGGTGAAGCAAGTGATTACCCACCCCCATCCTCTCTGAGATGGGCTGCCGTCTATAGGACCCAAAGGCCGATCTAGGAAAGACAGACTCTATTTCTCTCTTTCAGGGATAACATAAACCATCAAGACACTCTCTAGGAGTGAATTTAGGACCTTTAGCGGAATAAGCCCACAGTAGGCAAGGTCGTATCAGCGCATTGCACTGCAAACCAATCCCTTAGGCAGAAAGTTATAGAAGCAACAATAAGGGTTAGAAACCTCAGCTCCGTGGCATTTTTGAGTGATTGGGTTTGATGGGCAGAGGGCAGCAGGTTGGGGGACTCTGGGAAATGCTGATCTGCTCGTGATCACTGCAAGTCTTTGTGGAGGACATCTTGAGGAAGAGAAGCTATGGTTGGCAAAGAAGCAAACACCACTGTATACTCCATGAGACCTCGGTGTCTTACAAATCACATGGTCTTGCTTTTGCCTTGTTTGACAAGGTCCCCAAGTGCCCTTGCCTTGTGCTCTGTAAGATGGCGTTGCCCAGCCAGAGAGCACCACGGCCATCCAGCAAGCTTCAGATCAGCACCTAGCGACTCAGGCTGCTCTCTTCCCTCAGAACATTCGTGGTGGCTGGATGACTGTCAGGTTCCCACTTCCCCTCCAGAGAACAGACATTGCTCATTTGCCCCAGGTCCGCACCACAGTGTGAGCTCCACGCTGCCTTGTCTTCAGTAGGCTAGAGCTGACCTGAGATAGGCAGGCTTCACTCCTGTCCAGGAAAAGAGATAGAGTTGGGCGTGGAATCCCTTAGAAACCCAATGTCAATGCCATAGCAACAGAGCTAAGAAAAGCAGAATCAAACCTGTGTCCATCACCAGGCTCGGAGAAAGGAGCGGGTACAGCCCTGCTCCACACAAGCATCATTCTCCTGATGGCAAGCATCCCACTAGTGCCTTCTCTTCCTTCTACACATGAGGACCAGCTAGGCCTGGAGCTGAGGCCTCTCGTGGATTCTCCCCTCATCTCTATCCACCTCGTGACTTATCCTTCCCTACTGCTCCCCACATTCAGATCCAGTGCCTCCCCCACAGTCCCCTGCTGCATCTCGGAGCAGTCCCTGCACCTGATCAGCACCCCGAGATGGTGGAGCTGGGCCTGTGTGCCTGTTGTGTCTGCCTCGTTCTCTTCCATCCAGACTCCAGCAAAGGCGCCCATTAACCCAAGTCCAAAATGGCCGGGGGGGGGGGGGGGGGGGGAATTTACATCTGCTGTTGCGACGGCCTGATCTTAGTCTTCCAAGTCTCTAGGAGAGAGACACCTCATGTGTCTGAAGACAGCAGACTGTACTGAACAAACAAACATCTCTGATGCGCTGCCTATCAAAACGCAGGAGAACCTAGAACTCCCAGGCTTGCAGGAAATCAGAGTTGGTTTCTGTAAACGTTACTGTAACTAGCTCCCTAGGACGGCTTTTTTTGCTCTGTGGTCTGCCCCTCATGATCCCTGGCCTGATGGATATCTGTGTCTGGCACTTGGCAGCCACTTCCTATGTGGAACTCAATTTGGAAGTTCCCTGTACACCTCCAGGAATATAACCTCTAGGTTTTGGTCCAGACAATTGTCCCTGCTCCAGCGCCTCTTGAGGCAAGTCTGTGTTTGCAGACTGTCAACAACACATAGGGACCTGGAAGGAAGGAACCATAGACATGACCACCCTGCCCTCAAGGTGGGGCAGGGTCAAGATCATGATGGGGAAACCCACAAAGACAGCTGATCTGAGTTTGTGGGAGCTTGTGGACTCTGGACTGACAGCTAGAGAATCTGTATGGGACCTCTGAATGTGGGTGACAGTTGTGTGGCTTGGTCTTTTTGTGAGGCCCTTGGCAGTGGAACCAGGATTTATCTCTGGTGCATGTACTGGCTTTTTGGAGTCCATTGCTTATGGTGGGATGCCTTGCTCAGTCTTGATGCAGCAGGGAGGGGATTGGTCCTGCCTCAACTTGATGTTCCAGGTTTTGTTGACTCCCTGTGGGTACCCTTACCTTCTCTGAGGAGTGGATGGGCTTGGGAGGGATAGGGAAGGGGGAGGAGAGAAGGGACGGGGGATTGTAGTTGGTATGTAAAATGAATTAAAAAAAATTAAAAATGTCTACCCTGTTCCTTCTCATCCAAGGACCACAGTAGCCCAACCCACACAAAAGCTGAAGGGCACCAAGATCCCACATACCCTGTAAGGTCAGCTCCCACCACCAGTGCGGGTCCCAGATGGAGGAAGACTGGAGATGTGTTATGCCCAGATCCTCAGAGGTCCCCCAAAACCAACCAGGAGACTGAGCCCCGTATGTGAAAGCAAAGAGCTTTTATTCTTATTGAAGTTCAAACTTGGACTTTCCAGGTGACTTTAGCCCAAGCCCTCTTTGTACTGTCTGTTTTTAGACAGGCTCTCAATAAGTTGCCCATGGCAGTCTTGAATTTGCCATCCTCCTGCTGCGGCCTCCAAAGAAGCCGAGGTTACAGGCGCACTAAGAACGGGATTTTACATCTTCTGCGAGAATACGGGTTAGAAGGAAGCTATCTGGGGAGTCCTCCTTAAGCTCTCGCAGCACACACAGAAAGGCTCGCCTGAACACGTGGACCTGACACCAGCTGGCCATGCTCCTCTACAGATGGGCGCATCAGCTTTGGCTGCAGCACAAGCGATGCTTGCTCAGTCCCAGCAATCTCAGTCAGCATGACACATTGCTAGGGGCCATGGGTCATTCACAGGCTCTTCCATAGCCTGAATGTCCACTCACCATCCGAGACCATCCCCGGGCTAGGCGTGCCCTAGAGAGACTGGGCATCATGGGATGTCCAACTTCCATAAGCAGAAGCCACACTTCTTCGGTGGAGGTGTGGACAGACCCACGTTACCCCAAGAGGCCTGCGACTGAACTTCACCCACACACCATTCCTCTTGCCGACAACTCCGCAGTCACCCCGAGAAAATGTCGATAAGAGGGAAGAGCTAATTCAGTTACCAAAGGCTCAGAATCCAGAAATCCAGAAATAACAGGCTTTCCGTGCCCCCAAAGGACCTGTTTTTATAAATAATTTTTAAAAATTCAATACATGTTTTCTCTTGCTGTTCAAGAGAGTAGGCAGAGGGGCCACTCACCAATACATGTGGGGTGTACGCTGTCAGCTTTTAACTTTTGCTGATTCTATATGCTGCTTCTGCTTAGCTGTGCTCGGCCTGCC